ATAGGGTCGCCCCGAAACACTGTAGGAAATTTTTGGGCGTACAATCACATTTCCCCTAATATTTAAAGTAAGGCTTCTTTGAAATCAACAAAATTTTCCCATAAGATTGGTTTGACATCGTCATTATTCATTTGTTATACTCACTAATTCTGTTTTTTATAATCTTCGAGAACATAATTGGAGGTGCAGGTTGTTGAACTTCCTGACTGAGGCATCGGGTTTTCACGTCTTACGTATTCCTTGCACAAGTTAGGATAAACTGTTACTCTAACTTAGTAGCAGGTTTTGTTTTAAACCATCTACAAGATTGCCATTATTTAGAACCCCAGACTTACTTCCAATCAACTTCATTCATTGTCGATTTACGTATATTCCGATATTTCCCCTAACCCTATTTATTATTCTACAATACATAACAACTCTTGATATTGATTCTTGACGAAACACCATGAAAATGCGCTGTTTCGTCTTTGGGTTGTTTTCAACACATTGCTTAATGTACGCAAAGTGCACATACAGTAGTCTTTTCTCCTTGGTTTGTGATTTAATCAGTCAATTCTACTGATCGTGTGCAATTATTTGTAAATATCTCCAATTAAGTTGTTTCTGTTATTAATACCTTGAAGTTCCAATCCCTCAAACTTGACGAAAACTTCTCCAGTTTTAGTGAAATACGACCAAGATCCTCAAAATTTCCCTGGTCTGGGGTTTCTCCTCAAAATTCCTACTAACTGAGGAAATGCATCGAACTTGGTTGAAAACCCCGCAAAATTTCCAATTATTTTAGGAAAATCCCTCCAACGTTGTGAAGAAATCTTATAGGCTTCATTGAAAAATACCCATAATTTCTGATGTAAAAGGCGTTTTTCTATTTTATTCAAGGTTGATTTTGCGCCATTTAGCAAACTCCATGAAACTCGAAAATTAGCATCTAACTGTTTTGAACTTTAACATATTTTCCGTAGCGCATCATTATACATAAAGCTAATAAAAGACTTGACTTGTAAAATCGTTCTACAATGAACACTGTTTTGAAGATAAAATATGGACCCACAATGACAGTTTATTCCAGTTACCTATGAAGTCCTGTCTGGTCAACACTAGTAGTATCTTACGTCACCATAGTTACCAGACTGATGTGTTATAAATAGAATGATATATTAAATCTAAAAAAAATATATGTACATTTTTCAAGAATAATTTGTCACCTCATATTCTTTACAATCGGGACATAGCAGTTGATTTAATTCTTATGATCCAGTTCAGATTTCGTTTACAGCGTTCTACAAGTAAAAAATAAAACGTCAGTCTTATATGTAATAAGTTTAAAAGTAATATCATTACTGTTCCAATAATATGGTTCAATAAAGAAATTCTCGATGTAATGATGATCATGAAACTTGGATATTGCTCTGTTGGTGAAATACGCGCTGCAAGATCCTATAGTTATATATGAAATGTACATGAGCTATAAAACATTATGTAACAACTTACTGACTTTTACTTACAGTTGCGTCGATAATTGTTTGTAAAGCCAGTTGGAAAAAACACAATAAGTAGTAGTTTAGACATAAAACTATGAAAAAGATTGACTAATATATATGTGGATATTGAATAATACATTGGGGTTAATTTACTTTGGATTACTACTCACGCTTATTCACTTTATTCCTTGTGTCGTGCAAGAAAGTCTGACTTGCAGCATCCATAGCTTGTATTATGTATTTATCCGACAGTTCACACTTTTAAACAGTGAACACAGAAAATCTAACCAAAATGTTTACTATAATCTTGACTTATTGCGCGTTGTTCTGTAGAATCTGTGAGTCGCTATGTCCATTTTGCTTTTAGTTTCATTTAGGGTATAAGTAAAAGCTAGTTTTGACGTCAACCCGTAAGCTTCGAGATATTTCTCATAGGCTTCGTATATCAATCGCCCTGATAAACGTTATTAAATAAATCCTGAAATGTGTATGAATTGAGAAGGCAGTACGAAGCACCGACTACAGTTTATTATTGAATAGCACAAATCATTAAGCCAGAAGCACAACAAGCAAATTCGAGTAGAAAAGCTAATACGCTCGAATGAACAAATACAGAAGCGAACTAAGACTCGCATAGAGAATCGAATGAAGAGTCGAATCGATTAATAAGATTCAAGGATATGTATATAGGGAAGAGAATGACTTGTCGGGAACTTTTTTAAAAAACTAACATTTAAGTTAGAGAGAGGGATATGTGAGTAGACTGTCACATGTGATCAAGCGTACACGTTCATATAGACATGATAGTAATACCAAGATTTACAGATTTTTACTGTTCGAATAACACTGTCTGTCAAATAAGTTAATTGAAGAGCTCGAAAAAAACTAAACAAAAAAACTTAAGTGTAGGAGAGGTGCTATGCATGTTAACAACATCAACAGAAGGTGGAAGTTGTTGTGTGAGCACCTCCGTTTTGAAAGAACTTATTTGTAAGCATTTCTAATATGAGTTTATTAGTCATGTGTGCAAGTAAACTTCTTTAAAATGTCTTAATTGCTTGACTGTTAGCCTAAGCCTATCTAAAGGAATAAAATATAGGAACTGCTGTTGATATCATTATTACATGAAAAATTAACAAATAATAGTCCTTTTAGTACGGATAGAATTCCATCTACCAAGTTGTAATGTGACCACTAGTCTAAGTGACTCAATATCTCGTGCACTATGTTGAGATAAGATGGTGGCTGAAGAAAGTCAACAGGAAACCCTGGACCGAGGTTTCGTATTATTTGGTACTTATCAGCAAAATGTACCTGTAATCTTGAGGGAGTATCAGTTTCATCAAGATTACACGTACACTTTGCTGACAAGTGCCTAGGTCCAGGATTTTCTGTCAACTACTTACAACCACCGTCTGATTATAAAAGTACCCTAACATGATTCACAGAGATGTTCTGATAGTATATTCTACTAAGTGGCGTGCAGACCAACAGTTTCATCCTTATTTTAGTCAGTGAGTGTTTCGACCAGCTGTTATGTAAATGAAAGTTTGGAAAATTTTGGCACTTTAAGACATTGTCTAGACATTTATGTCTTGTTATTTCAAGTATCCTGTTGATAATTATCATCTTTTGATAGTGTAGCGTGGAATCGAGTCGAGATTAACCATGAACACCGCTACCAAGAAACACGTGCCAAGTAAATCAGAAGGCGAAGGTTGAACGTAACCAAATAAATCCATAAAATCCCCGAGAAACCAAATATCAGAAGGACAGTTAATGGACCAAGTCGAGATATATTTGCTGGCGATCTCGTGGTATCGAAAGGATACCGAGATCGTGCCAGGATACAAGCTTGGTTACAGAACGTAACCGAATTCGCGCGACGTCACAACCAAAGTGTAAGAATAGGAATGGAAGCACAAAATAGTTGTCATTAGCACAGTCAAACAAAAGCACATTAAAACAAACACTGGTACAGTTGGTTATAATAATAATTGTTTTTATTAAACCAGTCGTGTTCTCGTGATAAATGTGAGCCACTACAATAGTAAAACCAAATTATCAATGAAACATAACTAAATAGTTGTGTAGTCTAATTAATAACTAATCAGAAACTCACTATATTTAACTCAGAACAATTTTGACCGGTAAGGTATGGTATTATTAAAAATCTGAAATTTTATAATTAGAGTTACACTGAAATATTTTTGTAATCAATGTAGAATTGAAACCTAGTAATCAACTGGATCTCTATAGAAAGGAGTAGTTTAATTGGATTTGATATGCTAACCAGTAAATGCCAGGACTATCCAATGTGTACTTTAGTAGTGGATCAGTATTCAAGCCGAGAGAAAGCATATTTAAAAGATTAGAAGTTCTAGTTAGAAGCAGTGACCAGTGGAATTTAACCGGGTCTGTTGTGAGATAATAACTCATTGAAGACAGTGGTGGATGTGTCTCTCAATTTCGTGGATTAGTTGAAGTTAGACATTAACACCGTTGGATGCCGGCCAGCTCAGTGGTCTAGAGGTTGAGCGTTCATGCGCGAGACCGATGTGTCCTGGTTTCGAATCTCGCTACGGGGGATCGTGGATGCGCACTGTTGAGGAGTCCTAAAATAGGATGAAACGGCATTCCAGTGCTTCCAGGTTTTCCATGATGGTTTAGCTTCAATTGACACACGATCTTAACCATTAAAATTACTATAATATCCACAAACAACCCCTTCTGACATTTAAAAAAAGCTGTTTTTTAAAATTCGAATTTGCTACAAAAAAATGTATAAATTAATCACTATTACATACAAACATCACAATTGACTGACATACAAATCAGTAATATAAAGACAGATGATTGGAAATCTAGAATCCATTCAACTCAAATTATTCTTACATTTTATTCTGTCATTAGAAATGTAGTCACCAATCTCTTGGACAAAATCAATCAACAAGATAAAAAAACAAACAAACAAACAAACTAGGAAACAACCATTATGTAACAAACCACAACATTATTCATAATCAATAATATTCAAATATAAAATTCCTTCTCAATCTAATTCATTTAAAGAATTCATGTTCATTTAAACAAAAGTTTACATGAAAATAAATAAGAAATTGTTTAAATTTTATTTAAATAAAACATTCACAATTATAAATATTCAACAATAAAATAAAACAATATTTTATTATAAAAGTTTATTCTAACATGAACTGATTTAATTATTTGAACTTTGATTACATTGAATTGATATTTACCCTTTTTATCTATAAGCATATCCATATTAGATAATAATATTCAGTAATATGGTTCTATTATTATTATTATTATTATTATTATTATTATTATTATTATTATTATTATTATTATTATTAAGACAAGTAATGATCGATTACATAATTAATCCTGTTAATGATGATGAGGAATAATGATAGTGAAAAAAGTTCTTAATTAATTTATGTATAAATATTCATTATATAATTATAGTAGAATGATAATAATTAACCATTAACTATGAAATCATTATGTATATTGTGTTTACTTATTTCATTAGGTAAGTAGTGAATTCATGAAATTTCTTATTAATCATACATTGTATTCTTTTGAAATTTCAGTATTCTGTATGAATAATGTAATGGAAGATTCTACACAACAGTTACAAGTTCAAAAGGTCAGTAAAATCAATGAAAATTGTCTGACTGAATATTTAATGAAGTTGAGATATTTATGATCTCTGTTTTTTTTTCAATAAAGTAGACTGTGTACATTGATGTGAGATAAATTTTGTCGACTGAAAAATCTTATAGACCTAGTTCGATAAAACCATCACTTACTTACTTACTCCTGTTACTCCTCGTGAAAGAACATAGGCCGCTCATCAGCATTCTCCATCCAATCCTGTCCTGAGTAATCCTTTTCAGCTCCTTCCAGTTGTTATTCATTCTTCTCATACCTGATTCCATTTCCCGATTTAATGTGTTCTTTGGCCTTCCTCTTTTCCGATTCCCTTCAGGATTCCTAGTTAGAACTTGCCTCGTGATGCAGTTTGATGATTTGCGCAATGTATTTCCTATCCATTTCCGTCGTCTTTTCCTAATTTCTTCTTCAGCTGGAAGTTGGTTTGTTCTCTCCCACAGAAGGCTGTTGCTGATGGTATCCGGCCAATGGATGTTGAATATATTGCGTAGATGACCATTTATAAATACTTGTACCTTCTTGATGATGGTTGTAGTAGTTTTTAAAGTTTCAGCTCCGTACAGTAGAACTTCCTTGACGTTCGTATTGAAGATTCTGGCTTTGATATTGGTTAAAGGTTGTTTTCAGTTCCATATGTTCTTCAGTTGTAGGAATGCGGCCCTTGCCTAGCCGATCCTCGCCTTTACGTCTGCATCTGATCCTCATTGTTCATCGATGACGCTTCCCAGGTATGTCAAGGATTTTACATCTTCCAGAGTTTCGCCATCAAGTGTGATTGAATTGGTGTTCTCCGTGTTGTATTTGAGGACCTTGGTTTTCCCCTTGTGTATGCATAGGCCTATTGATGCAGAGACTGCTGCTTCAGTGACGGCCTTTGTCTGCATTTGTTTATGTGTATGCGATGAGAGGGCTAGGTCATCTGCGAAGTCAAAATCGTCTAATCGGTTCTGAGCTGTCCATTGTATGCCGTGTTTTCCCTCAGATGTCGAGGTCTTCATAATCCAGTCGACCACCAGAAGAAAGAGAGAGAGGGAGAGTAGACAGCCTTGTCTGACTCCAGTCCTTACTTGGAATGCATCTGTCAACTGTTCTTACTGCACTAATTTGCACTGTAGTCCGTCGTATGAGTTCCGGATAATGTTGACAATCTTCTCAGGAACTCCGTAGTGTCGAAGAAGTTTCCATAACATCCTCCTATCTACACTGTCAAACGCCTTTTCATAATCAATGAAATCTTATAACACTCTTTAAATATATTATAATTATATTCTTGAATTAAATAGACAGTTTTTAATGAATATGCATTAAAATATTTAATTTATTTTACAGTTCAGTTTACAAATTAGCTTATAGTTAGTGAATAGGTCATATATATTTGAGTTAGTGCTTTAAATTCTTGAATGTCACTTTAGAATAACGCACACTATCTTGTCAGAGTCATATTACGCTTATATTAAAGTATGTTTACTTGCTCAAATGGAGAATCTAAGTATTTTTTCATCTATATCAAGTCTATATTTTGTTCACCTATCTATATGAACAAATTAGAGTTTCATCGTTATCTTATTATATTTAATAGAATCATTAACTTACTGTTATATTTAGCTTCAACATAAGAGCGATCGATTATAGGCTGATTAAAGGTTCTAACTCAACATAAATCTAATTATCTGCCTTTACACTTTAATTCAGAATTCATAGAGGACGATAGTCTAATTTACTTACGCCTGTTACTCCCAATGGAGCATAGGCCACTGACCAGCATTCTCCGACCCATTGGGAGTTTAAAGATATCTACAAAAAATTGAGAACTTAGACTTTTGCGTTTTTCAATGATTATATGTTTTCAATAAGAAGGATTTATCTCCAAAAGACTATGGTAAACCATAAAATGAAGTAATAGTGTACAGTGTTATTCAGAATAATCTAAACTGTTACATTCTATCAGTCTCCTGCAAGTACACAATACGAGCAAAGGTGTTATAGATGAAAAAAGTAACAGATAAGGGTTAAAAATAAAAAAGGCAATAGACACGTCAATGTTAAATCGGAGTTATGTTTCACCAATTCTTTCTTCATTCTGTTCACTTTGTTCTTTATTATTACTCTTTTGAAAAACAGTATAATAGAAGAGGAAGTCAACCGAACATTTTCCGTAAGTAATTCTGTCATTAAATCAACTAGCGATAAAATGTATATTTATTGAAATGTATTCGCATTTGACTTTTCAATATATCAGAAGGGGTTTTGTGGAGATTGTAGTAATTTCAATAGTTGATATCATGAGTTAATTGAAGCTAGACCACGATGGAAAACCTGGAAGCACTGGATGGCTGTTTCGTTCTATTGTGGGGCTCCTCATCAGTGTGCATCCATTATCCTTCCCCGCGAGATTCTAACCCAGGACCTATCAGTCTCGCGCCTCAGCGCTTAACCACTAGACGTACAACTTGTTTCTCTTTTTATCATCCATTTAATTAGATCAAATTTGTTCAGTGTTTTTTTAGTACATTAACTGCTGTACTCAAGTCAAAAATCTCAAAACGAATGGAGTACATTAAAAACTTTCAAAATATTGTCATACTGCGAATTATACTAAATGAATCTATCCAATGAAAACAGACATCTTTGAGTTCTAAACAAGTTTTAAGTACTAATTAAAAATATAAGCATAAATATTCAGTAAAAATGTTTTGTGGTTGAAGACAATTAATAAGAAACCGTGATACCTTTTTGCCAGTTGACACTCGTCAACAAGTTATACCTGTGATTTTGAGTGAGTAGTTGTCACGGCAAGGTCAAATTCCTGCTGACTAATTCCAGCCAACTAACATTAAAATATCGAGTCACTTAAATTGGTGGTCACATTGCGACTTGATCGACAGGATTTGGTTAACACTAAGGACTAGAAAAACATATTTATCACTATTCAGTGATTAATCAACGTATATATTAATAATCGCAGTTTGGATGGTAATCTGCGCGTTGATATGATAGTATAACAACTGATATTGAATATTAGTATTTGAGCAGTGAGAAACCCATACATGAAATCAACTGAATTCGTAAAGGACAACTGTTCTGTCAATATTTCATATGGTTAACTTTTAAGATCAAGTGAGCTCTAAATGTTTTTGTTGTGTAAAAGATGAGGTTGTCCAAATAATACTAAGTATATTGAACAGACCTTCTAATAACATCAGAGCGTTAATAATTACGTACATATGAATTAGTGTTTGCAGTAGCATGAATTAAGTGTAACTTTGCACAGTTCTTTTTCCCTAGTGTATTGTACTCATAAATTAATTTGATTATGATAATGTTCCAAGTTTACTAATGTCAGCTAAGACCCAATTTTGACTTGTTCACAAATATAAGGTGACTCAAATAAAAAAACGAACGCTTCCTATTCAAAACTGTACATTTTATATAACTTATTCTCTACCAATAATGAATCGAATTCCTTTGATATTCCTATATTTAAAAGATACTATTATCAACAAATATCTAGTGTGAAGTAGTGACCAGTGGAGTTCAACCAGGTCTGTTGTGCGATAGTAACTCATTGAAGACAATGGTGGATGTGTCTCTCAATTTAGTGGATTAGTTGAAGTTAGACATCAACACTGTTGGATGCCGGCCGGCTCAGTGGTCTAGTGGTTAAGTGCTCGAGTGTGAAACCAGTAGGTCCTGGGTTCGAATCTCGCAGGGGGAGAGGTCGTGGATGCGCACTACTGAGGAGTCCCATAATGGAACAAAACAGCCATTTACTGCTTCCTGAATTACCATGATGGTCTAGCTGCAATCAACTCATGATCTCAGCTATTGAAATATTATATTTAAAAATATTATATTTACATTATTTTCTCTGTCAATTTCAGAGTGCATTACTTGTAAAAGTGGTACTGGAAAAGTTTTAGGTATGATTTTAAGTCCATCAACAAACAAGTCGATCAATAAAATAATTGAAACACTTTGTACGGAAGCAGGTCCATTTAATACTTCCGTAAGTAATTATTAACTTTTTCAATACTCAATTCATTATATACATAAATGTATCTTTCAAAATTATAGCGATATCTTTAAGTGAACAATGTTGTTTTCAATTAAATCATTATCAGGCTTTACCCTAATATACAATTATATATATGGAAATACTAAACCAATCGATTCAGTTTAGTAGGATCATCCGTTTTGTTCCTTAGAACTGATCTTGAACCGATCGATGTTAGACCACCAATGAAAACCTGGAAGCACAGGACGGCCGTTTTGTCCTATTGTGGGACTAACTTTGTGAGGGAATTCTCGGAGTTTTAGTGAGAAGCCATGACCAGTGGAGTTATTCCGTGCCAGGTAGAGATAAGTATCTATCTCAGTACAATGGAAGATGGTCGCTCAAATTCCTGGATTGGTTGAGGTTGGGCATTAACACCATTGGATGCCGACTCAGTGGTCTAGAGGTTAAGCGTTCGCTCACGAGACTGAAGAACCTAGGTTACAATCCCGAGAGAGGAGTCCCACAATAGGACGAAACGGTCGTCCAGTGCTTCCAGGTTTTCAATGGTGATCTAGCTAAGATCGACTCATCAATTCAATCACTAAAAGTCAAATAGAAACTGAACTTTTTAGTTAGACTAAGGTTATCCTCAACGTTTTCATTGTTCAATATGTTTTGTATCCAGCAATTCCGGACATCTTTCCCTTTATTTAGTGCGTTAGCTGCACATATTAGAGTAGTTTTTACCTTAAGTTTTATTTCAAATAGACGGACTAACTGCGTTCCAAATAGTTTCTTCTTCAAAATTAACTTCATTCAAAAATTTTACGTTCAATATCAGATGAAAAGTTAGGTGTTCTTGTCAGATTATTAGTGCAAATACATAATGGTTAACAGAAGTTCAGCTTAAAATACCGATAACTTGTTAAAGATTGTCTAAGCTGTAATGACTATATGACCACAATTTTATGAAATTACTTATTTGGTAGAGGGTGGTTTTTTGCTTAATATAATACTGTGAATGGTAATTTTATATCAGAAATACATACTATCAGTTCTTATTAATGTCACGTTTAGATTTTAAGTTCGTTTGATTGATGGGTTATTTTCTAAATAATAATCTGTTGTTAACATTTTTTACGTAGATGCTTCACTGCTTAAGTTCCTTAATTTACACTGAATTTATCCTGATTGATTGAAGTTAGACATTAACACCGTTGGATGCCGACTCAGTGGTCTAGAGGTTAAGCGTTCGCTCACGAGACTGAAGGACCTAGGCTCGAATCCGGAGAGCGAGATTGTGGATGAGCACTGCTAAGGAGTCTTACAATAGAACGGAACGGCCGTCCAATGCTTCCAGGTTTTCAATGGTGATCTAACATCAATCGGTTCAAGATCTCGATCAATAACTTAATAATCTCCACAACCCTATACTGATAAGAACTGATCTTGTTGATTTGTCTAATTTGCTTATGATAAAAAGATAATTTTTTCTAAGCTTATGTAAGCATCTTGATATTGTTTGGTCAATAGTGATATCACGGTATATTTACCATTTTTACATTGTTGACATCTGTCAACCTATATAGCTTTAAATGTTGTTTATATCTCGAGTATGGCCAGGATCAAGTTCGTTGTCTATAAAATAAATTCTCAAATTACACGTCCATATCTAGTCAATTAATTCGATATTCATAAACACAGAATTTTGAAAAAGATTCTGAATTATTATGAAAACAATATTGGTGAAATAATCCTTACAATGAGACACAGATAAACACGATAACACTGAATTTCACAAATAAGGATCTTTTTTTTTCAAAATAAAGAATTCGGTTAAAGTATATTGTGATGTTTTATCATAAATTGACTAAATCAATGAGTTATTTGAAGCTAGGCCACCATGGAGAACCTGGAAGCACTGGATGGCCGTTTTGTCCTATTGTGGGACTCCTCAGTAGTGCGTATGCACGATCCCACCACGCGAGATTCGAACCCAGGACATATCGGTCTCGCGCGCGAATGCTCTAGGTTTTCCATGGTGGGCTAGCTTCAACTGACTGGTGAATTCAACTATTAAACTACTACAATCTCCACAAAACCCTCTCTAATTATAGATCAGTGAGTTCTTTCATACTGATTGTGAGATCGAAAAATTCTTGTATTGCAGAACTACAATGGATTACTATTTTATCATTTCTGATCAGTTTTTAGGCAGATACGCATGATGAGTACAACTCAATCCAATTGTGGCTGCATCTATATTGTAAAGCCTCCTGGATTAAAAGGAAATGCTATAATATATGGTAACAAAATGAAATAAAATATGATCATGGTTTGATTGTGAAACTTTGAAGTCTTATATTTCAGTATATCAGTTGAAATTAAAATAGTGGACAGAATGACAAATATCAATTGCATGCAATAATTATCAAAAGAGTAGTTACTAGACAAATAGTTGACAGAGAACAGTTGTACTCTTCACAATTTCTAGTATACTCTTTAGTTTTACCGCTTTATTAGACGAGGAGGAGATTGAAAACTTCAGATCTCAAAGCAAATATGTTCTCTCTAAATCATTTAATTGATAACTAATGATCTTTGTTTTTAACAGCAGTAAATTTAAGATTTAGCTCAAAAATTATTAGATCTCATCTATCGGTAATTGTTTCACTTCAGATCTAGTTGAACTTCATAAGTTATAATTTATTACTGTATTTTCATGAATCTGCCTGTTGTACGGGTACTAGTGAGGACAAGATTATTATTCAAATGTTTTCTGTTGTTTTTTATCTGTTATTAATTCATGGTAAAAAAAACCATGTACAAATTCGTTACGTTGATAATGAACTCTTGAAGTTATGGTGGAAAGTCATGCCTAATTGAATTCAACTATTCCTGATGCATAGTGATTACCTGTCCATAGTATCAATTGTTGTTTGCTTTAGGTTGGTGTATTAATTTAGTGGTTTTGAAGAATAAATTAAAAAGGTTATGAAATATTACCTATTCATGTTGATTAATCATTATTTTTAACATACATATCATACTTTAATTAAGTGTGTATTTGAATATCATTAGGAAGATATGTTGAAATCTTTGAATTTTCCGTTAACTTATCAGCTATGCTCATCACTTACACAAAAAGGTAATCATGTGTCTAAGTTAGAAAAATTAACCAGAGGAATAACTGTCGGTTTCATTTGAGTTGGATATGATGTAATGTCTAATGATCGTATTAATTTTTATGTTCTATAGTAGTTCTCATCTTCCTTCACTCATACACCGCATGATGGAAGTTTCTACCAATAGGATTCAAAGATAGTAATAACAATACTAGGCAGCTAATAATTGGTCATAATTGGTAACGCCATTCCCATTAAAATTTAAACTGTATTATAACATGTAGAACAATCATTTTAAAGAAACCGCTTAGCCCCGGTAATAAATATATAAGACTACTATTAATCGTTTTAAGTAAATCATGCAGACGAATTTCAGGTTGATACATTAAAAAGGTTAATGGTAAACACTCGTGAAAAGTTCTTATTTAAGATTAAATGTTATCAAATTGTTACACCAAGTGGGTTTCACTAAAATAGATACTTGAATTACATCTTTTTCCTTAATATTAGTTACGGTTATATAGAAAGTTTTCATTATTTTTTCTTCCTTATTTTCATGTTCTTATTTACAGTGTAGAATGTTTGCAAATGAACTTTCATCACAGGTTTTTTATCTTTTTCGTCATATAGTACCACAAAAGTGGTGTGCTGTAAGTTGGTATAGTATATATTTAAGTAAAATGTCAATCCTTCTTCTGTGGTTTTAAATAATCTAAGTAAATTACCCCCTCCCGCCACAGAACCACAATTTTAACTTAAAAATATAACTGAGTTGTCAATTAACTATTTTTTTTCCCCACAGTTTCTCGGTTTCTGTTCTTACCCACCTATTGTACCTGTAAGTTTATACAATTTTATGTTGTATTTAAATAATCTATTAATTTGCTACAATTTCTATGGCTACTCATTACGAGTATATAAGAAGTGATATCATTATTGATTAAAAAATCAAACAAACAACCAATCATAACATTATTGCAAGTTAAAAAGAAGGAATTATTGATTTCACACAAAACTATTCACAGTTATCACAAACAGATACCAATGAGAAATACACATACACAGAGATATACAGATCAATGCGATTTATTTATTATGTGCAATCAAATTAAACAAAAAAAAAACAAACATTTTTTGATTTTTGACTAAAGTTAATTACCATGAGACTGATTTCGATAGTTCATAATTTTCCATAGAGTTTTATTGGTAATCAGCAGATATTTGAATAAGATATTTTCAGGATATCAGCATAGGGTTGTAGAGATTATTAAGTTATTGATCGAGATCTTGAACCGACTGATGTTAGACCACCACTGAAAACCTGGAAGCACTGGACGGCCGTTTCGTCCTATTGTGGGACTCCTTAGCAGTGCTGACCTACGATCTCGTTGTCGGGATTTGAGCCTAGGTCCCTCAGTCTCGTGAGCGAACGCTTAACCTCTAGACCACTGAGTCGGCATCCAACGGTGTTAATGTCTAACTTCAACCGATTCATGAATGGTTGCGCAACCATTCATCCATTGTCTGAGGTAGATACCTGTCTCTACCCGACACAGACTGAACTCCAGTGGTCACAACATTAACACTGTTGGATACCGACTCAGTGGTTTAAAGGTTAATTGTTCGCGCGCAAGGCCGAATATCCTGATTTTGATTCCGTCATGCAGGACTGTGGATGCGTACTGTTGAGGAATCGCATACTAGGATGATACGCTGTCCAATGCCTCTAGATTTTCAATGAGGGTCTAAATTTGATCGACTCATGAATTCAACTATTAAAATTACTACGATCTCCACAAACCCTATTCTGGTCTATTTGAATTGACTAATCAAAACCTTTATAGACTGTGACCGTGCTTCTCTTATTTTGGCTGAGTAGTTGAAACATTTATTCCTTCATAAACTACCGCTATTTTACATTTTATTGAGTTCCTTCATCATTACTCATACACAAGTTTATCAACCGTGTCTGTAGGTTTTTATTATCCTGTCATTGATATCTGAGATTTTGTTTGACCAATGTCCTTCGGAGTATGTACATAGTCGTCGCTTTCCTTTACGTTCCCCATAAATACTAGTTTTAGTATATATCAGAACATATTATGGGCGCAAGTCGGTATCAATGAACAAGTTGATTATAATAAAATCAACTGAATTAAGTAGTGATGAACTTCAAAACCGTATCAAGCTATCAACACACAAAGCATATTCTATGATATAGATTTATCAAATTCAGTATCAAACCATAAACCTTTGAAAATCCTTAAATCTAACGTTTTTTTAACACCATTATTTATCATAAATTGACTAACGATATTTTCTATCCTGTTTACACACCATCAGTTTGTAGATGTTGTCTCAATACCGGACAACTGATAAAATCAATGTTATCATCAGAGCCTTTCCTATCAGAATTATACAATAACACATTAGCTATGTGTGATAAATTACCAAAATTATCTATCATAGTGAGTTTGTTTTATGTTGTATTCTTTTTTCAACGAATAATTCTTCTTTATAGTTCAACCAATTGATTGAATTAATTCAAATATTTGTCTAATATACTTAAACATATATAGTCTACTGGTTTCAGTGATATACATAACCCTTTTTTTTTGAAAAAAATATGATTAAATATTTACATTATACATTTAATTTTCATCTGCTTACTTAATTACTTACGCCTGTTACTCCCAATGGAGCATAGGCCGCCGATCAGCATTCTACAACCCACTCTGTTCTGAGCCTTTCTTTCTAGTTCTATCCAATCGTTGTTTATTCTTCTCATTTCTGTCTCTATTTCTTGGCGTAATGTGTTCTTTGGCCTTTTTCTTCTCCTTTGACCTTGAAAATTTCAAGTGAGGGCTTGTCTTGTGACGCAGTTGGGTGCTTTTCTCAATGTATGTCCTATCTTTCATCTGCTTAGTCGTAGCTATTTCTTTCAACATTCAAACCTGGATTATTCTGGAATATATTCTTCGTTATTGATGTCTCACACTATATATTCAGATGATAATTATATTTGTTGGATAAAATGACTTTCCATTGTGTTATATTATTCACTTAAATTTATTGTGTTATTCTGTTTTAGTGCAATGCACTTCTACATGATATTTTCATGGCTATAACCTTAAGCTTCAATGAACAATTTGTAGTTTATCGACTTTGTAAGGTAATGATACGTTAATTTAATACTTTATATGAAGTTATTTACTTAATTGCAATTTCATTGATACTAACACATATGAAACTGTTTTTCTCATTGAAGACTATACTTATGAATGTATGCATTTACCAACAACATTCAAATTGCTTATCAATGGACAAGATAATATTTGAAGTATTGATCACATTTGATTCTAGAGAAATGTAGATCCCAAATAACCTTGTATGTGAAATGTAGGTCATCGCGATGCTGACCTCGTGCATTAGGATGTATAATTCATTTGTTTATGAGTGTTCTTTAGGCCTGATACTAAAATACCAGAAACAGTTAAGGCTGTCAATAAATTACACTAAATACATGAGATATTTGTAAGTTATATTTTAGGTGAACACAGCAGAAAATTGAACTGGAATTAACCACAGGAAAGTTCATTTAAAGAACAGGACCACTACAAGACTAATCATGTTTAAACAACACAATATTAAAAGTCGAATACCAGATGTGTTAAGAAGACTCATATTTTTTTACAAAGCAATCACATTTCAGCAAACAAACTGTCAGAGTAATATGTGTATTTGGTTCGGAAATTACCTTGAGTCAAAAACACTAAGTCCTACTTAGTTTACAAATTCAAACAAATAATAGATACAAAACTAGACAGATAGATACGTACTAAGATGCACATATACATCTCTGTTGAAAACGTGTATCCCATTAATCATGAAAAGTACCACAACACAATTTAATAAGATAAGGAGTGATAAATTTACTGATAAGGCTGATATAGACAAAAATAAATGACACAGAAGCTCAATGTGAACCACTAAAAAGTCATCAGATGAAGTCAATTAAGGAGATTTACTGTGAATTTCAAAATCATCAGTGATGACGATTTATGGAGATTGTAGTATTTTCATACTTCAAAACACTAACCGACCTTAGCTTAATGTCGAGAAGTCGCATACTATGACGAAATGGTCATCTAACGCTTCCAAGTTTTCAATGGTGATCTAGCTAAGATCAATTTTTGAATTTCATTATTGACAAAAATAGAATATATGACAACCAAAGTAAGTTATTTAGGTTCTGTAATTATAATGACCATTAGAGACTATATACTAACAACGGTAGATATCAAATTCATCAATCCACTGACCGAATTGAAAAATGTTCATCTAAAAGTGGTAACATTGTAGTGATCGCACACTCAAGTGAGAAATTGTTTCGTAAAATGTGAAAACCATACATTAAATACATTATTTACAAATCTTCCAACAATTATCTCAAACATAATCGTTACTTCATTGATATTACAATTACTATCAGTTTACATTCCCGTTCTCTTCAATTCAATCTTCTCAATCTCTGCCGGTAGGCATTTAACTTCCGATAGGCGTTAAATACTACTTATGTTGACAGACATAAGTAGCATCAACCACAATTTTTGTCAACTTAACAAATTTTTTTTATACTCAGTTATAAATTATTTCATCAATTTTGATCTAACAACTGGTCAATAGTCTACAAATAAACTCAATCGAATTGGATTAATCGAAATTCACTGATTATTAGTAACATTGAATCAAATGCATTTTCGATTAATTTTTATCGTGGATTAGTTGAAATTAGACATTAACACCATTGAATGCTGGCTCAGTGGTCTAGAGGTTAAGTGTTCACACGTGAGACCGAAGGTCCTGGTTTTCAGTCCCTCATGCAGGATCGTGGATGTGCGCTGCTGAGGAGTCCCACAAAGGAACAAAACGGCCATCCAGTGCTTCCAGGTTTTCCATGTTGGTCTAGCTTCAATTGACTCATGATCTCAACTGTTGAAATTACTACAATCTCCACAAAACCCCTTCTGATACTAATTTTTATCAATTCATTGATTTTTAAATTATTTTAGACTACTTCATATTCTTCCGCTTCTTCTATTTGTATCCTATAGAATGGTGGATTTTGCTGAAAATTTCAAAATGTCTATATGAATACCAGTTTCCAAACAACAAACACTTATATTACATGATGTTATTCTGCACAAATTAAATATACTATTGGAATATTCAAATTCTTTTATTTATTATCAGAAATGAATACAGGTTTGAACTCAATCAATAATTTATAATTGGTTAAGAATATACTAGTCGTTTGTGTAGTGCATAGTTTCATTCCTGAATCTTCTTGAATAGGATCATCTATCAAGTCATTATTATCAATGCTAATTGTTTGTTACATAGAGTGAAAATTTGAAAAAAAATATTCAAACTTTTAATAATCACCTACTTTTCTAGACACCATGAATTGGTAAACTAATGTAACATCCATGACCTCGCCTCGCGGGATTCGAACCCAGGACCTATCGTGGATGCGCACTGCTGAGGAGTCCCACAATAGGACGAAACGACCATCAAGTGTTTCCAGGTTTTCCATGTTGGTCTAGTTTCAATTGACTCATGATCTCAACTGTTGAAATCACTACAATCTCCACAAAACCCCTTCTGATACTAATATATAACATGATTGGAATAAATACATAAGAAAAATATACTGGAATGTAAAGATTGGATTGTTCCTTTGATAAAACGAAATTTTATAATTAGTTGAGAAATATAAATGGTGAAGGTACACAAGAAATTTCAAATTATTATCAAAAAGATACTTTATCACTATAGATAACTTTTTCCATGATTAATGAGAACATTACTAAAGAGTTAGGGATAATTAGGATGAAATTATTGATCTACTCTTCTTGCTTATTAGAACTAATGTATAAAATATAGATCAGTAACATTGAGGGATTGATATTTTTGTTCAGGTTGGAAATTTGTATCATGTAGCTCATGGTTAAGTGATCATTGAGTAGTAACTAATTTGTATCCATCTAGTCCTAATTGTTGGTCGAGGCATATTGATCAATTTGAAGTGTGGTTACTAGTTTAACTGTATCAATACCGTATAAACTATGTTTTGGTGTTGGATAGTTCGAATTCCTCAGTAAGAAACCTTCATTGGTCCAGCTTTTGCAATGATTTGCACTCATCGGCAAGCTCTGGCTACAATCCCGAAAGAACTAACGTTTTCAATGTGATTTTCAGTTTTACAAGAGGTTCGTTATTATGTAAATAGCTTAGCAGTGTCGTTTCGGATTCTGAAATTAAGCGACGAGGGTTCAAGTTCAATTCTAAGCACTAGTTCGACAAGGAATGTCGGTATATCTTTCAGATGGGTGTTGAAAAGCCCGAAACTTATTTTTGACGTTTTCTGCCGATTACCTCCAACTAACTAACGTCATCCCCTCTCTTAACAAAGAGTGCTGATACATGTACTTCGTAGAAATAACAATAATTTCTGTTTACTGTGATGTTGGAGAGTCATTAGTTAGTCAGTTGATCTTTAGTAATTGATCGTAAGGTTAAAATTTATCATTTCATTATAAACGTTATATAATAACAAACTTTTAGGACTATTACTTGACTAGTATCTTTTAAATAAATAGATGTTTAAGTACGTTTTCACTTGTCAACTTTCATTGATTATGTATCGAAATAAATCACTAAAATAGAGTTAATAATTACCATATAAAGAAATGATTTAGAATTTTGATTGGTGAACAACTTCAAACTAAATATTCACTCCAATCGATTACAGCAATATATGCGAGATCACTATCTCGTGAATTATTGATTAAATAACTGATTTGTATACTTTGTATACTGTAATCAGAAGTCACAGTTGATCTGAAAAAATATGATAGATCTTGTGAATATATTTTAAAATAACTTCATTACTTTACTTACCCGTCAATGCACTTTCACATTACCATTAAGGATGATTATTTTGAATGGAAAATATTGATAATGAATATAAAGAAGAATGGTATGATACACTGCTGAAATTGTCACACTACTACTTCTCAGATCAAAGTTGATTAACGATTATTAGAACTTAAGTTCTTTACAAGTTGTAATTTTAGATCTGTAAAACAAGCCACTCGTTAATAATCAGTACGATAAATTTATTCTATAAAAAATGAAACAGTATAGTGACTATCATTCGAAGCTGTCTTAACAAATTAATGGAATATCAGTAAATCTGTGATAACTTCATGAAAAGGGAAGTATGAGGTTGATAAATAATCAATTTACGAATAATAACAGAATGATGGAAATCTCATATTTTTAATCATTTAACTTGGATGTGAAAAATTTTGAACCAGATGTCATTGTATCCGGATTGAAATCATTATTTCAGTTGACTGCATATATACATATATTATATATTAATTCCATGCTTTGTATTCATGGATTGATTGAAATTAGACATTAACACCATTGAATACTGGCTCAGTGGTCTAGAGGTTAAGTGTTCACATGTGAGACCGAAGGTCCTGGTTTTCAGTCCCTCATGAAGGATCGTGGATGCATACTGTTGAGGAGTCCCATACCAGAACGAAACGGCTGTCCAGAGCCTCCAGATTTTCAATGGTGGTCTAGCTTAGATGGATTCATGAATTCAACTATTAAAATTACTACAGTCTCCACGATTCCCCATTCTGATTTCTTGATTTGTTTAAATAAATACGTCAAAACACTTTGTAAACTTCGTTTGTTATATCCGAGCGAAGATTAAATCACGAGTAATTTCTGAGACATATTAATTGACTAATATTATCTATATATTCTTATGGTATAACTGTTCAATAATTAGATTATGTATATTTATATTCCTCTTATTATAAGCTTCATTTTGATCTATAATTTATTATTGTACTATTTACTGTTCGTAAGCTATGTTCAGTTTGTTGACTACTATCTCCCACGTTCACAGTCACTTTTTGACTTTATTGTGTACAGATGTTGTTTTCTATTTTATGGTGCGTTGAGGTCTGTTTGTTTGATATATAAACCCAGTATGTCTGAAATAAATAATTCGATTCGATTCACATAGTGGAAGCTGGTTTTGGTGTTATGGACTCAAGTGGACGGGCTAGGCGGACCATAGGACAATAAGGACGCTAGCTGCTCATACCGGTTGAATGTCATTGGTTTGGCA